CGCGAATGGAATTGTGTTATCAAAAATGTTCGCCAAAAAAGTCCACTTGAAAACGTTAGATTTTGATAATTGATAAACACAGGTGTAGGTACGGAGCCTTAGCTGGGTATGGAAAATTAAAAATCCACAAGTAGTCTCGCTAATTAAGCTCTTTTCGATAAAACAAACTTTTTGCCTGCGATAATAAAATTTTGTTATCAGACACATGAACCGAAGGAAAATGAATGGGAATAAGAAATGTTTTTATTTCTGCCTTGGAGACGTCAGACTGACTGAAAACTTGAGAAAATTCTTTTCTGAGGCCATGTCGGAAAACCAGCCGTCTGATGAATTGGCGATAAACTGCTTGACAAACGCCACGTGTTGAACAAAGAGTTGTCATATTATCCGTTCATGATAACGGCGATTTAATTAATTTTTTAGTTAAGCAAGGTATTTTATTCCGAAACAAAGCCGTGGGTTGTTCACGCCCGACTAAGACGTCATTGGTCAAGTGGTGATCACATGACGCACGAAGGAGGAGAAAGATACCCGACCAAGACCTCATTGGCCGAGAGTGATCACGTGACACGAAGAAGGCTGTTGACGCCCCCATCCAGAGTATAAGCATGAGAAGCCGCTACGAAGAAGTGGGGAGGGCAGTTCACGCCCCTCAAGCATGGTGAGAAAGTGGGAGTGAAAAAAAAAAGTTACCAAAAATGGAAAAGAGTGGAAAATCCCTAACCAGAAATAAAAGAGGTGGATATGTATTTAGAATTATCGAGAACTCCCCGACGCCAACAGACCCAACCCGGTTTTTGTCGGCGTCAATAAAAAGCCAGGGCCTCAACAGGCGGGGAAATTTGCCCGGACCTCTGGCGGGCAGAAGTTAGTTCGGACCCTGACGGCTGAGATGAGTGTCCAATAGTTCGGACTCTGACGGGCAGAAGACAGTTCGTTCGGCCCCGGCGGCAGAGATGATAGACCAAGATAGACCTGACCAAGATTCACGGCAAAATTTCGGACTCCTCTTCAACCAAGAACAATTATTTTGAAGAGCGACTTAGAACCAGACCACAGAAATAAGTTTTTTTTCGACTTTCGTCCAGAGACACACCGAAACACAAATTTCTTAGAGAGCAAACAAATTGAAGCGTTAAAACTTGCCTAGCGAAAACGACATGTCACAATCCACAGAACGGGTCGGGAGATAGATGCAGTCCTATGTATCGAACAACTAGTTTGTTACCTTTTTCTTTGATACTTTGAACTTTTTGAGTTTTCATTTTCTTTTCTTTTATGCATATTTGTGTGTTATCACCCCCGTTGAACTCAATTTGCACTACGGCCCCAACCCCTGTTTGATCTCGTCTGTCTAAGATCAATTCACAAGGACCCTGGAACGGCCACGTCACAACAGGCGCCGTGGTAGATCAGGATAGAACGTCACAGTTGGCGCTGCGACCGGGGGACGACGTCACAATAACATGTAGAGCTTTTAACTTTAAAAATCAGGAAGTAAGTTGATTCCGCTAATTTGGTTTCAACGTTAAAGGCAATTTTTATTAAATGACCTCCCAGTGCCTTAATTTTTAAAGCGTTTGAGGACAATTAATAAAAATCATTCTTCTAATCTTTCCTTCTAATCTTTAGCGTATATATATATATATATATATATATATATATATATATATATATATATATATATATAGGACCTGGAAGAAGCTTCACAAAAGGAATATTTCGAAGATGACTGCAGCCAGTAATATCGAGGATAAGGACACGTTAAGTTCCACAGATGCATTTTGGGAATTACATTGTCATAACTTTTAAAACGTTTACGCGTTTTTTTTTTCATAGAAAAATATTTTGTATTTATTTTTATTTTTTTCAGATAACCTAAGGTCTTATCCATTGAACGGCAAATAGGAACAAAGATTCAAAAATGTGACTTAGTGCTTATAAGCAGATTTGTGGTAACGAATAAATAATATTATATATATAAATGTAGATATATATTTAGTATAACAGTGTGATATACCATATGTAACTGTAAAATTGTCCAAATCGTGTAAAAGCAAAGATTTGTAGATTAAGCATTGAACCATTTTATCTTAGATACGATTAAAGATATCTTACTGCAATTCTTCGAGGTTTTTATAATACTATTGACTCTAATTTTAGCAATAGGAATGTATAATTATTATCCAAGCTTAGAAGAATTGTGATGACGTCGATCATGAATGAAAATAACATGTCCATCATTAATGTTCGGTTTACGAACATTTAAGGATCGGGAAGGCCTTGAAGGATTTTTTAATCTATAAAAACCAACGTTAAATATAAAAATGTTTTAATAAATAAATTGTCGGACTTTGTCCATTTTTTAATATATGACGTCATTTGTTTACATTTGATACGCCAGAGCAGTTATGAATATACGAGATCTGGCGGAAGATTGAATTTTAAGCAGGTAAATTGGAAGCCCTCCACCGAAAAGGTCTTTTGTGGCCCAGGAGGTAAGGCACGTCAGCGTAAATGACGTTTCCGTATAGGATGCAGGTTCGAATCCTGTCAAAGAGCGAATATTTTCTATGAAAATTTCTCGGACATTCAGGCCGGTAAATGTTATTTAATACTGTTTATCATAAACAGAGCATTTGCTAAATACTTGTATCTATAAATAAAACAACGTTAAACATAAAAAATGTTTTAAAATATAAATATATATATATATGTATCCGCATTGACAGGATCATATTGTATTTATCTTTATATTTTTCATGGCTTCGAGGTGTGATTTTTAAGGAATGCTCTGCCCTTTTATCATGTCTTTGAATGAAAATTTAAAAATATGTTTTAGCGGCTAGTAGGCTGAGAGATATATAAATATAACTTTTACTGTTTTGCTTCTATATTTGTTTAATTTCTTCTTTGATATCCAGACCCCCCTACCAATCCATAGTATAAGTCCAGCCTACCCCATAAAATTTGATAAATATCTGTCGTTGGCGACGTGAAAATTGAAATTTGTGGAAGGTCACTTTGACATGAATCCGAAGTAGGAAGAAACGGTAAATGTAGCATTTATTCTTTTTAAATGTTACATAATAGTTTGCTTTTTAAATAAATTCTTTGACTCCAGCTAATTCTTTTCCTTTCAGCTATATCTTCCTTTTATTATTATATATATATATTATTATTATTATTATTATTATTATTACCTTTGATTTCTGGTGTGTATACATTTCGTTTCGGTCCATTATAGAGACCTAAAGGTTAGAAAAAAGGATATTTTCCACTGACAAAAGAAAAACAAAATATATTTTACATAGATAAAGCCCTTCGTAAGTTGTGAAAACAATTTTCTTTTTTTATATATATAATTTTTATCCTTATAATTATTATTATTATTGAAAGTAAAAGTAAACCAAGAAACTATTATAAGGAAAAAAAAAAAACAGGATTTAAAAAGCGAGACGTTTGGCTGCATTGAAATTTTTGTAGATCATAGTTGACAGGAAAGCTTGAAACCGGAATTGAATTCCACAAGCGCAAAAGTTAGCATAGATCTCATCCAGCAATTTCAACCGTAAAACACTAAGACCTAACAGCCAACTTAGTACTGGGCTTTAGATTGTGAATTCGATATACCAAAGATGAAAGCTCCCCAAAACAATGACATTAAAATTATTTATTAAAAAAAAATCTCCACAGGGAAGTAGCAAGTCATTTTAAAATTATGTATGTATGTATGTATGTATGTGTGTGTGTGTGTGTATTTATAAACGTCACAGGGTAGTATCAAGGCAATTTAATTAAACCAGATCATTCAGTCTAGAAAATCTTGACCAAGGCTAAAAAAATTGGCTGGAGAATATTTCATGTCGTTAGAAAAAAACTGTAAGAAAGCTTTTTAAAAAAAATTAAAAAATGCATGAGTTGATCGTGGCATTGCTGGAAAATGCGATAAATCATAGAACCTGAATGCGACAGTTGTGTCTATCATTACTGGAGTTCTTGGAATTGTTCCAGATAACCATGCAACTAGATTGGAAAACCGAGGAAGATTCGAAAAAATTCCAAAGGAAGCATTACAAAACTCAACTCCAGTAGTGAAGAGAGAGATGGAATGTTGTAGAACTTGTTGTCACTTCATTTACAGTATAAAAAAAAAAAAACAAAAGTAAAAGAAATGGATGATTAAATACGTTATCATCATAATTACAACGAGTCTAAACTTTCAACTCTTCACAATAATAATAAAATAATAATAATAACAAAGACATATTTATTTTCCAAGAATGCTAACAAGATATCACCCGACATCTATTCTTTCCAGTCCGTTCGCCGTCATCTAATCCCAGGTGCTCCGAAGTTACAGCCGTTTTATTTTTGTTTTTGTTTTTTTTTGGTGGGGAGGGCTTCAGACTGTACTTTCATTTTATTTATTTATTTATTTATTCATTCATTCATTTTCTTTCTTTTCTATTTTTATTTGTATTTTCGAGAACCAAAAAAAAAAAAAGAAGAAAGTTAAAATGGAAGTGGGGAGGCAGGTGTGCGTCGTGTTTTTTATTTATTGTTGAAAAATTGCTTCTAGGCTGAACAGATTCTCAACATCTGGCGATAATAGAGCTTTCTTTTTATCATCTCTGTTTCTGACAGAGTCTGCGAAGCGGGAGTTTTCAGTGGAACTGGGGTGGGATAAAAATGGTAAACTCTTACAGAGTTGGAACTTTGAAGCAACATATTGTAATGTGGGACTTACCAAGGGTGAGGGAACAGAGATGAATGACAGATAGATAGATAGATATAGATAGATAAATGTTTGAAATAGATAATTGCACCGATAGATAGATATGAGTAGATTGGATAACAGATAGATGGTATGAGTAGAAAATAATGAATAATTGTGCCAGATAGATGTGGGACTGAAATACAAGATACAATAGATACCAGATAGAATGGATAGATAGATGAGCAGATTGGAAATAGATGAATTGTGCCAGATAGATGAATTAGATGTAGAGTTGAAATAGATCCAGATAGATGAGTATAAAGATAGATAGAGTGCCAGATAGATAGATTGAGATGATAGATAGATAGATAGATAGATAGATAGATAGTTTACATAAGGACAGATAGATACAAATAGGATTGAAAATCAGCCAGATAGACCATGATAGATAAATAGATAGATAGATGAATAGATGAAATAGAAATAGACGAATGAATGAAACAGATCGATATAATAGATACCAGGATCGCCAGATAGATGAGTAGATTGGAAGCAGAGATAATGATAGACAGATAGATATAGATATGTACAGATCGAGATAGATAATAGAAATGAAACAATATATAGATAGATTGCAAGATCGAAATAGATAGATAGATATATGATAGATAGATAGATAGATAGATATGAGTGAAACAGATTGAAATAGATAGATAGATAAATAGATAATGAACCAGATAGAGTAGATAAGAAAATAGATAGATATAGATGAAACAGATAATCGCCAGATAGATAGATATAGATGAAAATAGATAGCCAGATAATAGATAGATGAAATAGACAATGCCAGATAGATAGATAGATAATAGATAGATGAATGGAAATGAATAGATATAGATAATAGATGAATAGATGAAAGACAATAGATAGATTGTGCAGATCGAGATGATAGATAGATGGAACAGATAATAGATAGATGAAATAGAATAGATAGATAGATAGATATGAGTAGATAGATAGAAATAGATAATTGAAAATAGCCAGATAGATAGATAAGGACAGATAGATAATAGATAGATAGATAGAAGTAGATTAGATAAAGGATAGATAGATAGACAGATGAGTGTGCCAGAGTAGATAGATATGATAGATAGAGATTAGATTGATAGAAAACAGATAATTCTAGACAGCCAGATAGATAACAGCCAAGAGATAGACTGAAATAGACAGTACCAGCCAGATAGATAGATAGATATGAGATTGAACAGATAAAGCCAGATTAGATATGAGATAGATAATAATTAGTGATGAAACAGAGATAGATGAGCAGATAGATAATAGATATGAGTAGAAATTGAAATAGATAATAGATAGACAGATAGCCAGATAGATCGATAGATAATGAGATAGACAGATAGAGATTGAAAATCAGATAATTGACAAGGAGTGAAATAGATAGATGATAGATAGATAGATAGATAGATAGACTGAGAAATAGATTGTGTTAATAGATGTGATCAGATAGATTGATAGATATGATGTGATTGGAAATAGATAATTGATGAAGTAGATATAGAAATAGATAGATGAGTAGATTGAAATAGTAATTTAGATAGATAGATAGATAGACAGAATATAGAAGTAGATTGAATAGATGCAGATAGATAGGAAATAGATAATTGTGCCAGATAGATGAATGAATGTAGATAGATGAATGTAGATAGAGAAATAGTGTGAAGATAGATTGAAATAGATAATTATTGCGCCAGATAGATAGATAGAGATGGAAATAGATAATGCAGATAGATTGAAATAGATAATTGTGCCAGATAGATAGATAGATAGATAGATAGATAGATAGATATAAGTAGATTGAAATAGATAATTGTGATAGATAGATAGATATGAGTAGATTGAAATAGATAATTGTGCCAGATAGATAGATATGAGTAGATTGAAATAGATAATTGTGCCAGATAGATAGATAGATAGATGTGATAAATTAATTGTGACAGACAGATAGATGAAATGGATAGATAGATAGATAGATAGAAATACATAATTGTGACAGATAGATAAGATAGCGATAGAAAGATAATTGTGCCAGATAGATAGATATGAGTAGATTGAAATAGATAATTGTGCCAGATAGATAGATAGATAGATATAATAGATAGATATGATGGATGAATTGTGCCAGATAGATAGATAGAGCAGATGGAAAATAGATAATCAGCCAGATAGAGATAGATAGATAGATGAAACAGATAATTTGCCAGATAGATAGATATGAAGATGAAAGATAATTGTGCCAGATAGATAATGAAATGAATGGTGTGCCAGATAGATAGATGATGAACCAGGTAGACAGAAGATAGATAAGGAGTAGATTGAATAGATAATATGATAATGAGATAGATAATTGTACCCAGATAGAAAGTAGATTGAAATAGATAATTGATACAGATAGATAGAATAGATGAGGATGGACATATTTATATAGATAGATAGATATGAAGAGTTGAAATACGTACAGAAAAGATAGAGAGAAGAATGGATTTTCAGATGAGATGTATGTGATATGAATATTGAAGGATATATATAGATATATATATATATATATATATATATATATAAATATAATATATAAACTCATCGACGTAGACAGATAATTTTGAAAATAGATGAATGGAAAGAAACCGATAGACATATCCTTAATTACGACATATAGATTCTTTCCAAAAGACATTTTTTTAAATTTAAAGACTCTGAATTGTAGGTTATTTTAAAAAAAAAAACTGGGAGTATATTGGTATTTTATAATATTCTATCGCGGCATTCTCGAGGATTTTCTCTCCGTGTAAATTACTTTCTCTTTTGATGATAGACGGACAGACATGAACGGATATATTTGAACAGATAGATAGATAGATATGAACAGATATATATGAACAGATAGACAGATAGACGTGAACAGATAGATAGACGTGAACAGGTATATGAAAATAGATAGATAGACAGATAGATGTTTTAAAATAAGAAACTTCGAAGCAGTATTCGGATTCCTTATTTTTTTGCGTAAGAACTAGACATGGAGTTGTTTAAATGACATTAAATGTTTATGTCTGCGTCGAATAAATAAGAACGAAAATCACTTAGACGTAACTAATCTATGTGGTTGAGCCATAAATAATTTCCGTTTATTTAACAGCTTCATTTTGCAAAAAATAAAGTACAATTACTTTTTATTCAATTACGCATTTTTGAAATGAAGCGTTGTCAGTAATGAGGCAGTTCTTCGAATTATTTTGTCTAAAATTCCACAGGTTTTGTTGTGCAAAGTTTTTCAACAAACTCTTCAGTCTGGTTCAGACACCGAAAATGAGCCTGGTCTGTAACCAGATGATTTGGTGAACGCATTCTTAATACCAGGTCAAAAGACATTTTTAAACTGAATTGATTTGCTGGGGTGTAGATTTATAAAAAGGATTTACTCTCCGTTATATCACGTTGATACACCTGTTCCCGTACGAACAGGTATAAGGAAAATAGAGAGAGGACAGATTGAGTTTAATGCATATTTCCATCTAGATATGGAGTTATTTCTGAATAAAATGACGCGTCTTCTATGAACAGCTGGAAGGAATCTCTTGGCCATAAATACATTTCCGTTTATTTAACAGTTCCGTCGTTACGGACCAATTACGCATTTTTTTCAAAAACGGGAACCAGTTTGATGATACAACAAACTTGAGTCTGGTTGGGGAAAATAAAGTCACACGGAACAAGATCAGTTGAATAAGGAGGTTATTTCATTACGAAGAGTTTTTTTTCTCGGCCAGGAACTGCCGGATATTCGGGGCGTTGTGTGCAGATATATTGTCGTTTTGAAGCAGCCCCGATTTGTCCTGCCACAAAAGCACGTAAAAAACAAAACAAAAAAAACAAAAAAAAAAAAAAAAAAAAAACGCAATGGTTGCAAAAGGCTAAGATTACATTATTTACATTATTCGGACTATTGTCCTCATCTTTGTTGCCATATTTATCACAACGTTTCGGCCGTTGTACGCTCCGGCCTTCTTCAGGTGGTTGGAATGTCGAACTGACCCCTTTATTTCGCTCACCGGGGTAGACTGTTCTAGTTCCACGTGCCATGTTTAATGAATGTCAGTTATCAGTTATCTCCTGTTAATTTCCCATATTGTATTTATTTCTATGCTTAAATAAATACAATATGGGAACCAGCAATAAGGAGTGCCAGAGAAAAGAAATTATAACATAGTTGCAATATGAGCTCTAGTAAAAACATCCAATGATAACAGCAAAAATTGCAATATGAGCACTGGTAAAAATGGTTGCTGAAGACATTAGGTTTATAATACCCAGAAATTCATACCCAGATGGCACAGTGGATAAAGGCGTTGGTTAGATCCAGTGACAGGACCCAATGAGTGTGAGTTCAATACCCGGTTAAGGCAGTGGAGAACCTTCAGAGGGAATAACTGATAACTGATAAGCGAAATAAAGGGTTCAGTTCGACATTCCAACCACCTGAAGAAGGCCGAAACGTTGTGATAAATATGGCAACAAAGATGAGGACAATAGTCCAAATAATGTAATCTTAGCCTTTTGCAACCATTGCGGTTTTTTTTTGTTTTGTTTTGTTTTTTACTGGTAGAATTCTTTAACAATATAAGTAACGTAATAAGTACCTCATTTTGTTTTATTGCTTATTTTCGTTTACTTTTCTTTCCACTTTTCTATTCCTTTACTTTTATATACATATTTATTTTTTTTTAATCCAAGCTGACATCAATCGTGGGGTAGTTTAAGCATTAGTCAAATGTGAGTACAATTATTATGAAAAAAAAGGTGCTCATAAAAAAAAATCATATAGGTTGATATTAAGCTAATCTTTAAACGATACAATGTCACCTGAAAAAAGGTATGTTTTTTTTTGTTTTTAGTTATCGCCTTGAAAATCACTTTTTTAAGTTCATTGTTTTCGCTTGGTGTCAATTAAAAATAGACACCAGTCTAAAACATAAAGAAAAAAAATAACACGAACGTAGGTGGAAAGGATTATTTGAACTCTTACAAAATGCTTCCGTGTCTAATACGGAATAAGTACTAATTGGAAATTTCAAAATCAAACAAGTCCGAATATATATATATATATATATATATATATATAAGAGAGAGAGAAAGAATATATGTGTGTGTGTGTGTTTATATATGCATGCGTGTGTATAGTAGACATTTAAAAACCTATCTATATTTTAGCATTTTTTATTATCAAGCCTGAATAACATGAAATAGGATAAAAAGGGATTTCAATATCATTCACTTACTTAGATATATATATATATATATATATATATATATATATATATATATATATATAGTGATTATCACTTCTTGACAGAAGAAAACCATCTCCACAACAAATTTTTATATATATATATATATATATATATATATATATATATATATATATATATATATATATATATACGGGTTCAAAGGAATATTTTTTGGCCGAGCCTACGTGCTCGGAGAACCTGATGATAAACTCGGCCTTGTGCTACATACGACCGACGGGGGGCGTTAAATATAACAGTGCCTCAGCCCGTTCAGCTATCAATGTCTCCGCCGAGGCGGAGAGGAACCCGACGAAGCTTTACCGAAGGACAAATTTGCGTCCGGGGAGGTAGACAGGCCCTGAAGCCGTTTATATGGGTTCGAAGGGAATATTTTTCGCCGAGCCTACGGGCTCGGAGAACCCACGATAAAGTCGGCCTTGTCCCACATACCTGGCGGGGGGGGGGTTAAATATAACGCTGATACAGACTGTTCTACTGAGGCTGTTCGCAGTTCCTGTCAAACTCTCTGCTTTTGGCAGAGAGGAACCCGGACGGGGATGTGCCGAAGGGCAAAATTTCAACCGGGGAGGTAGACAGACCCGAACCAGTTTATGTGGGTTCTACGGGGATTTTTTGGCCGAGCCTACGGGCTCGGATGACCCACGTTAAAATCGGCCTTGTGCCACATATATCACTCGTGGGGGGATGTTAAATATTGACAGTGGTATAGTCTGAACGCTGGTCAAACGACACATACTCCCGTCGTGTAATACACTTCTGTTGTATTTATTGTTCAATACATTATCTGCAACCTCTCGTTTTGTAATTACTTAACCAATTACTTTTGGTCACAACAACTCCACACAAGCTGTAAAAATACGGTGGAAGGCAGCGCTTCAAGATAACCTTTACGACGATTGCGCTTAACCCTAGCATGTACCACCCTGTCCTTCTCAAACTGGTTACAACTTTGATGAATTGTCGTTCTCCACGTAGGTCGACATTCAGCCTCCAGTTCCTACGTATCAACTGATATCCCAAGAGTTTTGAAACTGGTTTTGATGCAATCTTTAAAACGATTTCTAGGTTTGAGTCTGGGACGCCTGCCTGCAGATAGTTCACCATAAAAGGCATTTTATATCTGTAATTTTACTTGCGACCAGATGTCTTTGCAACACCTGTTGTTGTACGATCACCAAAGTTAAGTAACGACAAGCCTGGTCAGTACCTACATGGGTGACCGCATGGAAATACCTGGTCAAAGTTAAGTAACGACAAGCCTGGTCAATACCAACATGGGTGACCGCATGGCAAATACCTGGTCAAAGTTAAGTAACGACAAGCCTGGTCGATACCAACATGGGTGACCGCATGGAAATACCTGGTCAAAGTTAAGTAACGACAAGCCTGGTCGATACCAACATGGGTGACCGCATGATAATACCAGGTCAAAGTTAAGTAACGACAAGCCTGGTCAATACCAACATGGGTGACCGCATGGAAATACCTGGTCAAAGTTAAGTAGTGACAAGCCTGGTCAATACCTACATGGGTGACCGCATGGAGATACCAGGTCAAAGTTAAGTAACGACAAGCCTGGTCAATACTTACATGTGTGACCACTTGGAAATAGCAGGTAATGTAAACTTGGGTGTGACGTTAGTGTAATGTTACTACAAAATTCGAAGGAATAGCAAAACAAGCCTTCCAAAATCTGAGCAAAAATATTAAGAAACAAGAACATTTCATTGGAAATAAAGAAAAAGACGCTCAACTGCTATGTAATATCAGCCCACCGCTTTTTTTGGCAATGAATGTTGGACAATCAGACGAGCTACATTCCTTAATTTCACCAACTCTAGCACTCACGCCTAAGACATACCACGCCGTATACACTGAGATGAAGCATTCGTGTTCCATTTGTCAGAAGTTCCATTTGAACAGCTTCTTCCCAGGAACTGCTTCTTTGTAGAACCGACTACCAAGAGGATGCTTTCCCGACAAACTGAGCCTCTTTATGTCTAGGGCTGTTATAATTTTTCTCATATGCTCATAAACTGCGTCCCTTATCTATTACTCTTACCACAAAATACTTCAATAATCGTCTATCTCGAGTGGCTCTTGGGCCTTGTATAGTGTGCAACACTAAAAACAATATCTTCTCATAAATGAAAAAAAGACTTGAAGCAGCCGAAAAAGTAGTCCCCAAGGAGGATAAAAGCGTTGGTTGAAGTACTTCAAAAAGTGAGTTGACCCAGAGAGTAGTGAGTTCAATACCTGGCCACATCAGATGGAACCAAACTTGAAAAATTGTGTTACTAAAGGGAAGTAACTGAAACTTAGATATCCCCCATCCCCACCAAAATGGCCATGGTACGTAGAATTAGAAGAACCTACCCCATGGACTAAATAAATAGTTAGATTCGAAATTCCAATCACCTGAAGAATGCCGTAGCGCACAACGGCCGAAACATCGTGAATATAGCAATAAAGATGAGGAGAATTATGTAAATAGAAATTTAATTCTACAGAAGGATGCTGAGAATTCCATGGAGTGAACATGGGGAAATTTTAAGGAAACTGGATAGTTCTTTCGGTAGCTGATACAAAATGTAGGACGCCAACCCGACAGCCAGTGAATCTCTCATCCTCCTTAAAAATCCAGACCTTTTGAACATTGATTAACCAGTCCTGCTGTATGGATCAAAAGCTTTGAAATTATCTGTTCGTCTTGAAAGACAACGGGATGAAACATATTCAAATTTAATAAGAAAAATCCAGGACATCAGTTGGAGATCCAATGCCGCGCTTAAATTACGGAGACTAATCTCTCTTAAGGTCAAACAAAAACAAATACAGTTTGTCGGCCACTGCCACCAAACGGACAGGTTAATCGTCTCATTCTTTCTCCTATCTCAACCACCTGGAAGTGTCTTCTCACGAAAATTGACTTGCCCAGACATCATAGCTCGGGACTCAGGTTTGGACATTTGGGACAGAACACCGTGAAAAGGGATTATCAATGCAGTTCCGACCAACCATAGGGAACTCGAAGGACAATGATGAAGGAAAATGAAACAAAAATGACGCCTATACGTAGAAAGAGGGAGTTAAAATTTCTGGGACACTTAATGAGGAAATGTCGTCACTGTCTATATTTATCTGCTCATCTATCTACAAACTATGCTAGGGTAAAAGTTATATATATAGATCGGTTATGTCGATATATTAAAACACAAGAGCTAGACATATTTCATACACAACCAGTCACTCAAAGACATACTCATAAAGAAAC